CATTGCGTCAATGTCAAATTTCTTGGATGTGAGGATGGCCTTGTGGTTCTTTTGGAGAATGTTCTTGTTCTTAGGAGACATATGAGCAAATATTTAAGTGTCTTGGTGTCTGCAGTGTTCTCACAAATGGCTCATTGGAATAAACACACACACACACACTCACACACACACACAATGAGCAAATGTAGCTAAGTATTTTCAAGGGGGGTGCACCATGGGTAAAGCACCCACCTAGTAATTGTCTTGGAAAGCACTGATTTCCAGGAAGAATGGAGCACTGAGCAACTAAGGGCGGAGAGGCCAGAGGGTCTGTTTGGAAAACAGATTATAGACAGGAGCAGGGAAAGGCTCAGATGTTGGAGGGGGGAGGTAGAGGGGCAAGGCTGACGGTAACATAGTATACAAAGAGCACGGATTTGGAGGCAAACACCTGGGTTCAGTTCCTAGCTACATGACCTTCAGTGAGTCACTTAACTATTTTGTGCCTCAGTTGCCCTATCTGTAAAAATGGAAGAAGGATGCCCTCCTTGTGTGGTTCAAGAGAGAAAACGAGAGAGCCCTTGGTACATTGGAGCCTGCTGCTGCGCGTGGACACTCCAGGCCCGGGAACACTGGGCAGGAAGAGCACGTCAGGACAGGTATGTAGGTGGAACTGTTGGTGCCCTCAGGGTCAGACCATGGACCTCCCTCTGCCTCCCTCCCTGGGGACCCCTTGTGGATCCCAGCAGGGCTGGAGGGTGGGGGCAGGGCAGAGACAAGCCTTCTCTCCCTCCCTTTGCTCAGAAAGGGGCCTCCTGTTCCATCAGACCCTCAGAAGCTGGTTGAGGACACGCATTTTCCAAAGCATGCTGGGAAGGCAGTATGGTCAGAGGAGGGACTCTTGAGTGGACACGTAAGTGACCCAAACCATTTCAAGGCCATGCCTCTCATTTCTCCTAAGTGATCACAAGTCCTGGAGGTGCTGGCTTTGCCTTATCTTGCCCCCACCCTAACCTGCATTATTGGCCATGAAAAGAGGGCTCTAGAAATATTTATCCTCTCAGGGAGGGGATCGAGGCTCCAGCCTTAGACAGGTTTCTTCCTTTCTTCAGGTCTCAGTTTACCCAGAATCCATAAAAGGGGGCGATCCATCCCTGAAATACCCACGTCTGAGGGGAGGCTGCAGTGAAAGAGGAAGGAACATACACTTTGGAGGCCAGCAGCTCTGTGTTCCAACCCTGACACAACTGCTAGCTAGTCGCACTGGGGAGCCTTCACATCCCACGGCCACCGTCTCCTTAACCTCACGATGGGGGCAATTGTGTCCGATGAGTCAGGTGGTCGCAACGAATCGAAACAAAATGGGCACAGAGAGCTGACGTGTAGTTTATTGATTTATTGTCTCTCCCCCCCACGGCGAGAGTGTCAGCCCCAAGAGGCAGGGACACGGTCCCCGCTCACCGCTGCTCAGTAGGAGCTCCCTGAACGATCGTTGGCTGCATGGATGGACAGAACAGGTGCTCAGTATATCATAGCTCCCCTTGTAATCCTCAAATGTGCTAAGACAAAAAGCATTTGGAGTTCATGGTTGTTGAGAAACAAAACTCTGGAAAGAGATAAGCTTCAGGGTTGGCGCTGGTTTGTTGATCTGTACTCTGGGCAACGGAGGACACCAGGGAGGCTGCGTTTATCTGCACCAGGGGATGGACATGACGTGCCCATGGGAGCCACATGGAACATCCAGAGTAATGTGGGCTGACATGGCTGAGACTTGGCAAACTGGGGAGCCGTGTGTCTCCTGTCTCTTGGGGCTCCCCCTCTCTAGCAGACCGTAGCCAGGGGGGAATGCAGGCCCAATCTGCTAGTGCAGCTGATTTTACAAGAAAACCCAGAAATCCAATGGAAAACAATTCTTTTCAAAAAAGAAAAGCACAAGTGAGAGCAGACAAGCCCATCAGTGGCTGGGAGGAGCCCTGTGATGCGGCCCACCCGCTCGGGCAGGAGGAGGGAGGCCCGGTGGCGGGGCCCTGCAGTGGCCTCCACCGGGTCCTCGCCCCTCCAGACTCCTGGGGCAGCCCCAGCCCGTGAGACACAGGACTCCATTGAGAAAAATGTCGAAGCGCTGCCCTGATCCAAATGGCCCATGTCACGCACAGGGAAGCAGCCACCTCCTGGCGTCCTCGGGCTCAGGGCGTACCCAGGCTTTGGGGTTCCTGGGCTCAGGATAAGTCAGCTCCCCTAGCGCCTGGCCCAAGGAGAAGTTCAGGAAATATTCACTGAAGGAAGCTTCTCCATGTGTCCTTGGGCACAGCCCTCCATCCCTGGGCCACATCTGTAAAATGGGCACAAAAATGTGGCCCCGCCCACCTCACAGGGACAATGGGGAAAGCAGGTGAGATTGAAGGGGCAAAAGTGTTTCTGAAGATTGAAAGTGCTTTACAAACGCAACGTGTGGTCATCCATGTTGTCATTATTATTATTATTATGAGCAAGAGGGTTTGCCAGAGCAGAAGAGGGGGCTGGGGCCCAGAAGAGCAGAGAAGCAACAGATTTCACAAGGAGGATCCAGATCAAGGCCGCTAGGGCTCACGCGGAAGGGTTGGGTGTCGGGCGGGGGGTTGGGGGGGCGGTGCCGCAGGGGCTGCCCATAGAATACAGAAATGATATAAATAACATAAATATTTTCTCATATATCTTAGCTATATAAATTATTATCTTTATGTGAGGTAGACAACAAATACCCTGTGAGTGTTTCCCTTAAAGCTATATAGAATGAGAGGTCAGTGGTAACTGGACCCCAGGGTCCCAGCAGGACTGAGGTGGACCTTTGGAAGCAACTGGAAGAGAAAGAGTGGGAGCAAGGAAGGAGAAGAGAAGAGAAGAGAGGGCTGGCGAGGGACGACCCTGTAGGCCGAGGGGCTCTCAGAGGCTGCATCCGCGCCCTTGGCCTGGGCTGTCAGTGTTGGTTGCCAGCCACGGCTTCGGTCCCTCAGAGTCTGCCCTTTATCCTCCTGCAGCCCTGACCCCGCCTGCCATGGAGTCGGGGTGCGCATGGCGTGTCGGTGGATCAGGACCCCTCCTTCTGCCGCCTTGGGCCAAGGCGGGGTGGAGGCAGAGCCGGGTCTCAGAGGAGCAGGATGAATCGGGCTGGCCAAGAGGAGTCTCCACGCGGTCGGGGTGGAAAAGTAACGAGCAAACCAGCCCTCTCTCCTTTTTTGCTTTCTGCCAAGATGTGGGCCAGCTGCTTGGGTCAGCAGTCACTCTAGAAAGGGCTCTCATCAGAGCCGCTGCAGCCAAAGATCCTTCCAGCGCCCTGCAGGCTGCCCTGGGCTGCTGAGGACAGGGTGGCTCCTTCTCACCCTTGCAGGTCTCAGAGGGCCCCTGGGGCTTCTTCCTGGGGCTTGCATGGACGGTTTTTTGAGCATTCAGCTGATTCTGAAGTTTCCTGTTTCAGCCGAGGGTCAGCAACTCTGGGTTCAGGGAGAAAGGAAGCTGACAAGAGGGTGTGGCAGGGCCAGCAAAGTGGCCAAGGGCATCCCAGAGGAGGTCACTTCCTCCCAGCTGGCATTGAGCCCTGCTCTGGGGAAGCACACAGCCTCCAGCAAAGTGGTTCCCACAAGGTCTTGGTTCTGAACCAGAGGGCCATGTACTGCTGAACAGGAGCCCTCAGCCTGGCAGGTCCAACGGGCGTGTGTGTGTGTGTGTGTGTGTGTGTGTGTGTGTGTGTGTACCAGCCTCTCTCTTTGACTCCCAAACAGGGCCTGGTAGATAGCACTGAAAATGTCCACAGGATTGGAGGAAATTAGCAAAGTCACTTCTGCTCCTCAGGTAGGACCCAAGTGAGGGGCCTATAGTAAATGAAGCGGCCCCCAAGAAACCAGGCTTAGCAAAGACTTTTCACGGCCCTATACCTCCAGCCAAGGCAAAAACCTTAATCAGATGAGTAACTGTAAGAGAAATGGAACCAGAATCAAGTCATAAGCCAACTCTTCTGTATCACAACTGCCAACTGTGTCGGAGCCCCACAGCATGGGGGGAGCCCCAGCCATGGGGCAGCTGACCAAAGCGGCCTCCAAAGGAGGCCGAGAAACAGCTCGCCACATCCCTGCCTGGCACCAGGGCGCTGTGACCCTCTCCTGGACTGGGACTAGAGGTTCTGTGTCCCAGGGAAAACAGGAAGGGTTCACTGTGTGCCTGTGCCACCTCAGGGCGCCATCTGAGCCCCACCCCGGGGTCTGGCTCTCCCTGTCGGTCTTGCAGCCGCGGGTGCTCTCACTGAGCAGGGCTGGGTGGGTGTGGATAACGGCTCTCAAGACAAGAATGAGGCCTTGGCACAGGCATATTTTAAAAACAAAGTCAAGGACACAGAGTTTCAGGGCATGTATATGACTTGGGTCCACTCAAGCCCAGGAAGCTTTTTTTCCTCCAAACCAACAGCTCCCGTCACCTGGCCTTTCCCCTCAACTCTCGCACAGAAGGCCATTTGGTAGTGATGGTGTGTGGTCGCCAGGCTCCCTGTGGCCTGAGCAGGGCCCACAGGAGGGACCGTCCCATCCCAGCCAGACTCCGGCCTTGGCTTCCAGCTGACCTGCCTCCCTGTGCCTTCTCCACTGAGAAGCTCAGCTCCCTGCCTCTTTCTGGCTCTAGACCGTGTATCCCAGGAAGTAAGATGGTGGGAGACTCCCTCTCTCCCCTCTACACCTCGGTCTTGCCCTCCTCCTAGTTTTCCTCATTTCCTTCCCCATCTTTCCCACTCTGCCTTCCTGCTCCAAGTCCCCAAAAAGGCTGGAGACCCTTGGGTTCAGGAGTAGGGCCTGCACCTCTCACCCTGAGAGTCGAGGGCGGGGAAGACTGCCAGGCCTGATAGAGAGAGGAGTGTGTGTGCTCGGGACGTCTGTCGGTGAGCGCATGCACGCAGGTGTGCCTGCCCGGAGGGGCCAGCTGGACAGCTGGGTGGCCTCAAGGTGCCGGGCACCAAGGGGGGTCCTGGCAGTGCTCAGCTGGCACGCTGGGCAACCGACCTAGTGCTTGCAGGTGTACACGAGCTCCTCCTGCACGCACTGCTGGCACTCCACGTAGCAGCACCACTGCACCTGGCAGTGGCAGGAGAAGGCCACCAGGCGGCTCTGGGTGTCGTAGCCCCGCCCGCAGCACAGGCTGCTGCAGCTGGCTTCCCGGGAGCACACTCTGCCTGCCGTGCCCGGGGAGTACTTGCTGGGCCGGCAGAAGCTGGGGGAGTCCTCCATGTAGACCAGGTCCCCGGGCCGGGGGGCCAGGCCCTTGGTCGGAGTGCCTGGCCTAGCAGGTGCCCACAGCTCCAGGCGGCCCAAGGCCTCGTTGGTGGCACTGGACACCTTGACCGCTGAGTCGTAGCGCAGCTTCAGCACCTGGCCTGTCTCTCGGAATGGGGAGAGCTGCTTCCAGCAGGTGCGTACGGCGCAGGAGCCCGACACGCCATGGCACTTACAAGTGGTCCTGAGGCCACTCTTCACAGCCTGCGAGGAGGGGCAGAACGGAGGCGCAGTCAGAAGCTCAGGGCCCGCGGCCTGAGTCTGCCCCCAGGGTGCCAGCCCTGGCTGGGGAGTGGCAGAAGATGGGAAGGTTTGCTACACGGCACCCCTGTGCAAACTGGCCTGAGGCTCGTCTTCTGCTGGGCAGAGGCAGCCCTAGGCCAGCACGCGTGCTCTGTGAGAGCAGCGTGGGCAGGGTCTTGGCCCCAGCCCCTTCCCTGGGCCAGAATTCTCATGTAGCAGACGACTTGCACACGTGAATACAGCAGCTGCGGTTTATGCCAACTCAGTGATGAGGGCGCAGGACACAGAACTCTGTTTTCTAAAAAACGGAAGCTTCGGCCTGTTCCAACCTTCTCATTCAAATAGACCTAGATACTTTTTACCCTTCAGTTCTCCCTCTGCTCTAGGACCTCAGCTAACTCCCTTCCCTTCCCTGGGCTGCCTCCTCTTCCCTTTTGCAAGTTTCCAAACTATGTTGGCTGCTAGGACCCCCAGGAAGGCTAGTCCTTGGCATGGAGACCCCTCTCCAAACATGTTCCTGCCTCACCAGGCCTGGTCCCAAGCCTGGCTCCCACCTGCTGCCCAGCGCCGGTGACACCCAGGACCCTTTCCTGCTTCCTGGTCATGGTCTGGAGTAGGTGCCCAGGGAATGTTGGTGGAAGGAACGAGGTTCATCCTGTGCTAGCTGTGTGTGTGTGTGTGCTGGGCAGCAGGGCATGGGAGGACCTCCTACAGACCAAGCACCCCAGCGGGCAGGGCCAGAGGCCACCCAGGAACGTGCTTACCTTGATGCCCACGTGGGTGTTGTGGGCGTCTGCCCGTGCCCGCAGGTCTTTGCTTCCTCTCTTGGGCCCCAGGAAGTTGCTCAGGAACTTGGTGCTGTACTTGAGGTTGTCGCCACACACGCCCCACTGCCAGGCCTGCCGGCTCTCCAGGCCCGGGGAGTCATCGCAGGTGCAGCGCTCCATGCGCCCGGCACTGCAGGCCCGGGCCAGGGTGTGGGTGAGGGCAGCTGAGGACACCGAGTACAGGAAGGCCGTCTCCTTGAAACCTGGGCCAGGCACCGGGGAGATTGGGAGGGAGAGGAATGGGCTTAGAGGCTGAGCAGGTGAGCAGGGTGTGAACCTGAGGACGCAGCTGGGGGCAGCCGCCCTGCCACCTGCCCCTTAAACTCAGGTTGCAAGTTGCTGTTTACAATGAGACTTTCTAAATCACCGTGAAGCAGATTCCCAGATTCCCCAGGCAGCAGGTGGGGAACAGATGAGAACACTGAGACGCAAATAGAAGTGACTTAGGCACCTGGTGAGGAACTAAGCTGGGGCGAAGCCACTGGTCTTGACTCCAAGTCCACGTGTGAACAAGTTGGACTAGACCACCTCTGAAGCCCCTGATCCCCTGAAATACGCCCTGTGGGCCTCCTGTGCTTCATGATAATCTTCAGATGTCACTCTCTGCTGCCTCCCGTGGAGTTCACCTGGTGACAGAGTGACTTTGGGTCTCTTGCCAGACCGACCATCCAGCCGCTTCCGGCACCATCGCCACTCTTGCTCTGCTAGGGTGTGGCCCAAAGCTGGCCCCGCTCAAGGGCTCGCCTGCTCTCCAGTGTCCCTGGGGTGCTGGCGACGCGGAGGGTCGGATCAGCTCTGCCCCAGACTGGCCCCAGCCGGGGAGGGCAGCTGGCCTGGAGGCGGCTGGCTGCTGCTCCATGCCACGGCTGCCTTTCTGTCAAAGCCTCTGTTACAGCCCCTGCCCCTTGGAGATAGAGTCTCATGATGACCTGTTTTGCCCCTGAGGCTGCATGTTCTGAGGGTTGACAGGGTCTTGACCAGATCTGTGCCTTCAGTATCCAGCACAGCACTGGCTCACTGGGAGCCTCCCCACGTGCTTAGTGAACGGATCCAGTGGAGGCATGGAGAGGTGCAGGGGAGGCGGGAGGGAGGGAGGGAAAGGTGGATCAATGGATGGGATGAACACAGAAACGGGTGAATCAGTGAACAAGTGAATTCGGCCTGCTTCATGCTATTTGGCCAACTGTTAACTGCCTTCCCTCCGTATACGTCCTTGCACCTAGTTTTGTGGTGTGTACATATGGAGGAGGCTCAGGGATGGGACTGGCGGGGGGGCACCCGTCTCATCTGTGGACTTTCCGGGGTGGGCTGTGCTTCCTCCTGTGTCCTCCTGGCTCCTTTGCTCCCCCCACACTGAGGGAAAAGCTGAGGCTCCTTAACTCCCAGGACTCCTCTCACTTAGGACTGTGCTGGGTTCACGAGGGCGGTGTGGCCGGAGTGCAGGGGCCAGGGGTGCGGGAAGCACAGGCGACCTGCAGTCCTCCTCCCTCCTTGTCCCCCCTCCCCTAGCCCCCCCCCATCTCTCCTCCCTACCTCTCTTGAGCAGGCCTGTCCTTCCCTCCAGGCTGCAGTTCCAGCGCTCATGCCGAAACTGGAACTGGCACTCGAGCAGGCTGAGGTGGGCAGCATCCTGCAGGGTCTCCGCCAGGCCAGGCTCCCGCCGGCAGAGCTGCTTCTGCCGGCGGGACAGCTTCAGCAGGTCGCACTGCTTCAGGTGGGCCCCGCCCTGAGCTGGGGCCGCCGCAGTGCCCAGCCCTGGGAAGGGCGTCAGGACCTCCCGCCCGGTCAGGCTGAAGAGGGCAAGAGAAGGGAGACCTGTGACCCTTGGGGGCGGTAAAGAGGCAGGGAGTGGGGGAGAAAAAGGAGGATGACAGTACCTAAGGATGTGGGCCGGGGAGGGGAAGGGGGCCTTTTGGGGGGACCGCGTTATTTCTGGGAGAGAGGCCAGCCCCATGGAGTCATATTCCCATTTTGCAGAGTAGAAGACAAAGATGCTTACAACAAAGGCTAGTGCAGGATCCCAAACCCGTTTTCCAGATGCCAAAGTCTTACCCACCGTCTTTCCCAAACTTGCCCAATGACAACAATCACCCAGGGTGCTCATTAAAAATATAGGTCCCCAGGATCCCCAGTTGGCAATTCTGTTTCTGTTGGTCTGGAATGCGGCCTGGGGAGTCTGTGTATTTACCACATCCCCAGGCAGCTTCAATGATCAGGGAAGCTGGGGAAATACTTCATGTAGCATTGGCTGCTGTCTGGAGGCGGAGACCACGTTCCTAAGAGGGGCAGGCAGAGTGCTGTGGACGGGGAGCAGACACCCAGCCATCCTCCCTGACAGCGCGCTTTCCCTTCCATATGTCACTGCCCAAGGAATCCCACGCCAACCTAACTTATTTCCGCAATTCCCAGATAGACCTTCAGCCACCTGGCCACTCAGTGCCCGTTACAAAGAAATGTTTGGGGAATACCCGCATAGATGGCAGGATGGATGAAAGAAAGGAGGGAAGGAAGGAAGCAGGGGTAGGTGGATGGATGCACAGACTGACAGATGGGTGAATGAAGGGGAAGGAGCTGAATTTCTATTAGGCCACCAGCCCCAGGCTTCTTGTTCTACAATAACAGCAGTTCATGGATTCTGGAATTGGCTGCCAAGTTCTAATCCTGACTGCCGCTTCCTGGCTGTATAACCTTGAAGCCTCGGTTTTCACCTCTGCTAACTGGAAACAGTGATCCTCTCTACCTGGGCTGCGGGGAGGATTACACGAAAAGTACCGACCGCAGTGCCTGGGACACGCTTGTTTACTTTCCTGCTAGCTGGAGTTTCTCAAAATTCTTTTCTCTTGCAAGATTCTTTACTCTTTAACTTGGGCAGAGCCTTCCCTTTGTCCAGATAAGGAAACAAAGGTTTTATGAAGAGGCAGTGACTGACCTGAGTCACCCAGCAGATTAGCAGCAAAGTGGGGACTAGAATTAGAACTCACTTTCCCTCTCCCCAGAAGCTCTCTGTGAAACGGTTCTACCAGCTCAAGAGATTTACTGTCCCGTACCCTGGTGGCCCTCTGTGTGGGTGGAAGTAGCCCCTTTCTTTTTTAGAACATGCTCGCCTCTTGGCCAAGGTAAAACAGCAACGGTAGAACCACACAATGGTTCTTAAAGCTCCTGCTTGAATGTGGCACTTGTCCTTCCTGCTCATGTGTCACTGGCAGGTCCTGGCCAAGCCCTGAAGGGCCAGAAAGGCCCTTGTCCCATGGACACAGGGAACAGTTCTCCTGTTTGGAGTCACCTGCCCCGGCCAGGACATCTGGCTAGATGCCACACCCTCCCTGTCTGGGCGGGTGTGGGTCCTGGCCAGGTCCCAGCTGCCCCCAGAAAGTGCCTGTAGATTCCAAGCCCACCAGGTGTAGCCAACCCAGTATGGAGCGTATCTCTGAAACCTCTGAGCAGAGACAGATGCTATCAGGCTCCTCCTGGCCCAGCCGGGCCTTGGGTTCCCCTCCCAGACAGGGTGAGGGCAGGGACCCGTTAATCATTAATCTGGGGGCAAATGGGTAAATTTCCAGTCCACCAGGTCTACACCCAAACCCCTCCCTGCAGGCTGGCAGGAAACCCTCAGAGCTTGACCCTTGGCAGGTCCACAGCAGAGCCCGATGTCAACTCCAGCTGAGGAGGCCCCGCCCTGCCTGACTTCCAGAGTGGAGGGCGGCTCAGGGGCTGCAGGGAGCGAAGAGGCAGCAGCCACGTAGCCCCTCCAGTGTCCTCCCCACACCGGGGGGCTGGTGTGAGGGACAGTTTCTACTCACACATTTCCTGTGTTTCAGAAATTGGGAACTTCCTTTTAGCAGCTGATTGACAGATGGGAGAACTCAGTAGGGACAATCAGTAGGGAGAACAAACAAGGAGTGATGGGAATTTTGACCCGTGGGGCTGCACATCCTTGAAGACCTGTCTCAAATGCCATTTTTAAAAAAGATTTTATTTATTTAGAGAGAAGCGAAGGTAGGGAGAAACAGAGGGAGAGGAACATTGATCAGCTGCCTCTTGCATACACCCTGATCAGGGACCTGGCCCGCAACCGAGGCATGCACCCTGACTGGGAATCAAACCGGCAACCTTTTGCTTTGTGGGACAGTGCTGAACCAACTGAGCCATGCAAGAATAATAGCTATTATTGTTATATCATTATAGCTATATTGTGTGATAATGATATGGTATGATATGATATCATATGATATATCTACCATTTTGAATGCTTATTACTCAGACCTTTAAATTACTATGTGAACACCTGCTGGGTGGGCTGCCTATGTGTTCCTTCTATCTACATGGTTAGCATGTGGTCCCTGTAGGCCATTTTATACCACATGACCTTGCTTCTCTGGCCTGTTGATTGGACCAATGAGGATCACATGACCCAAGCTGGGCCAATCAGTCCTTTCTCTGGGAATTTGGAATTTGAATTAAATGAGCATACAGTTGCTTTCTCTCTTTCCTTTTGGGTGACTGGGCCAGTAACTCAGGTGATTAAAAAAAGAAGCTGGTCTAAAGAAAAAAATAAACCAAATGCATCAAGAGAAGCTGAGGTGAGATTAGGAGAGAGAATGCGGGGCGCTCTTCAGCCGCGGGACCGGGAGTCTCCCTGAGGTCAGCTGTGTTCTTGCCTGAGACACCCCTGCAGTACAGTGTCAAGGCTTGGAGTTAGTTTGTCTAACTTAGGGTGTCTGCCGCCCCTGATAGGACCTTATGACAGCTGTGGGGTCCCAGCATGCCCTCAGGCTGTGCGTGTGAGCCAGGCTCGGCACCCTTTCCCCATCCACAGGCACATGTTTTCTTTTGTTGTTTTTTGAATTTTGTGTAATAGACCCTGTGATTGATGGCCCCAGGAGTCCAGTATAAAGTCGGTTAATTTTATTAGTGGTAATGACACTTAGTAGTGATTAATGGTCAGGAAAGGCAGCCAACCGCACAGGGGCCTCAGGCCACACTGGGCTTGGTCTGCCCAGGGCTGCTCTCCAAGAAGGCTCCCTGGCGCTGCCCTGCAGGTCCCGGGAAGGCAGCTGAGGGCCCTTCCAGGACCCAGCTTCCTTCTTATTTGTTTTCTATGTTGCAGTTAAGGATCATATTTCCTTTGAAGAAATAGGGCCATGACATCAAACTTAGAAAACACCTCAAGGCATTTCTTAAACGGTGCTTGTGAACTCTTGCCACATGCTCATCCCAGAGCAGCTGCTGGGGAAGGCTTCTTCCTGGACCTCAGAAGAGTTCTAGCTGGTGCTAGAGCTGCAGTCTGTCCTGGGGTCAGTGGGCCTGATCCACTCCCCTTGAAGACACAATACTCTCTGGCACCCTAGGCCCGAGAACCCTACCCGCCAGGCCCCTCTGCAAAACTCTCAGTTGCCAACATGTTAGTTGAGCCTCCTGGGGGTAAACCAGAGAAGATCAAGTGAGCTTCATTAGTCTAATGAATCTAAACCTTGAGTTTTAATAAAGACACTGCTCACTCCACGGTGAGCTCAGAGCTATCAGCCAAACAAATGACAGGATTCTGAACTGAAGAGCAGACAATGAATAATTTGCATACTAGCTAATTGCTCTTCTAGACTGGGGGACCAGCTCCTGGGGTTTCTCTGCCTGGGATCACCCCCTTCATTGGTTGCACCTACTTTAGCCCAACTGGTCTCCCCCATTCCTGCTTCCAGTCCAGCTCCCCCAGGCTGATTTCTAGACTCTGTTTTCCCATTCAGAAAGCAACAACCCCACGTGACCAGCTCTATTCTCCTCCCTTCTTTGCCCCCAGCCTGTACCTTCTGCCCCCGGCACCCTTGGCCCGTGACCCTTAGGTTAATAATAAGACAGGAAGCCCCCATTTCCACACAATGAGAAGTGTCTGGCTTTGACCCCAGATCATCCCCAGCCACTTCCTGACTACCTTATCTCCCCCCACAGTGGGAAAGGTCAAGGGTGCCCCTCAGGACTTCATCTCACATACCCCCAATTCCACCCCCAGATCTCTTCTGCCCACTCCTGGCCCTTCCCACCTCTGCCTCCTTTCACGTTCCCCAGTGCTCACCCCATCCGCAGTTTGGGCTAAGGCCACCCCACCGGGGATGACCTTGAAGTAAGCAAAAGAAGGTTCTCCAGGCTGTGGGGAAAGCTGCTCAGGAGACTACTTTGGTTTACCATCAGCAGGACCCAGGAACCATCAAACCCCTGAGAAGAGATGGGGTTCATCCTGGAGCAATCACCCATCATCTGCTGGAGTGTGAGGACTCAAGGACCTCAGGCCCCCAAGACAACAGTGACCCAAGTAGTTGGGTCCCAGGTCTGCCCTCACTCCCTGGTGACCTCGAGGATGTCCACTCACTCCCTGAGCTCACTCCATCTAACAAGTACACATTGACTAGTGGGACAGCATGGCCAGAGTCAGACCACTTGGGTTCAAATCCACCTCTACCTCTTACTAGTTGTGCCACCTTGGGAATGGGACTCTACCTCTCTACGTCTCATCTTAAAAATGCAGGAAATCACAGTACCTGCTTCTCAGGGCTGTCCTGAAGATGAAATGAATTCACCTTTGTAAAGAAAGCTCTTACAACAGTGCCTGGCACATAAAAAGTTCCAGATAAGTAGCATTCATAAGTACCTACTATGTGCTGGGCACTGAGACCTGCTCCTGCCCTCAAAGAGGTCACAGTCTGGAGAGAACTTGGCTGGATCCGAGGGTACACTCTCCTGAAGCCCCAAATGGCAGGGAAAGAAGAAAGTTTTGAACCAGTCCAGCTCCCCAGGGAAC